CTCTCGGTGAGTAATCGCACTGAAATTTTACAGTATATATTCAGGAGAAGGTACTGAATGCCAAAAATACAGCCTATCCATTACGACAGCGCGCGTCTGCAATTGCCCCACCGACACCCGACACTTATGATTTCAACTTGAAGATAACAGTTTTCATCAGACCAGAATATAAACATGATTGTTTTTCAGTCCTTTTAAATGTTACATTGGGATGAAGCAGGATGAGCCTGTCTGTAGCCAGAAGAAATATTGTCAAGCCTTCCAGGTAAGCCGGTATTTTTGCTCCTCCTTTTGAGTACTGCGGCTGTCGGAGGGGTTCACTGTAAAACGAGTTCTGTGCGACACATTTCTTTCGCGAGATAGGCCGCAGTTGCCGTTCATGCTTCATTGTCTTCCAGACAACTATTCTAGGCGTCACGCAGAACAGGTTCTTCCGTGCCCTCATCCAAAACCCTTTTATCGAATTTCTTCTACAGTATTAAATTGGATTAAATTTGAGACGATGCTGCAACAACAGGCAGGGTATAAAAAATGAAGCGAGCCGAGTGAATTGTGTCACGTTCAAACCCCTATCTTCTATTTTTTAGTTCTAACAAACAGGTTTCGTGTTACAAATCTGAACCATGCTGGAATTTCTTTTCTTATACCTAAACTTCACGTACTATTGAAATTGATTTGTATGCGAATCTAGCAGACACAGCAGCCTTGGTATTTGCCACTCTGCGCTGAACTTGACATGTAGAGTCGTGCGAGCGGCATTCTGGTTAACTATCTGTATTTATCATTGTAATTTCATGTCACCACTTGCAGGGGGGGGCAACCTGATTTACGAACCTGATGTAGATACCTGACAATACTACGTCAGCAAACTGACTCCATGAAGCTGCGTCTCCCTTGAAAAGCCATAAGTTGCTTACCGTGTTCACAAGAACCCGCCACTGATCTCCATCAGATGAGTTGTCCTCACTCAGTATTATCCTCCCATCTAGGTTTACGTCTGGCGCTTCCGCTCATGTGTGTGTGGAGTTGAGGTGTAGTAGTTTAGCGGGCTCATGCCTCTACGCAGAACTCAGATAATAACCGTAGTTTCTGAGAACTGAATGGACCTTATGAATACTGTCAGCGAAATCACGGGCTGAATTACAAATTTTTGAGGGAAATAGTTGAACCTACGGAGGACGATAAACGAGCAGAATGTTACATACATGCCTATAGACCTACTTGGCGCCTCGTGTTATAAACTAGGACGAGATGTGCCACAAACGAACACAGAAATTTTGGTTGTATATTACAGGGAAAAGGGTTACTTGGAAGACAAACCGACGAGGGAGGATTGTGAAGTCCAGAAGTTTGCGGCGGTATAGGAATGTAACTGGGATGGGGGAGAATGGAAAATCCTACAAAATTTGTGGAAAATGCAGGCTAGTACTGAATTTTGAAAACACGTCATGCTTTACACATTCAGGAATTTCAGCAGCTGGAGAAAGTGTGAAATAGTACATGACAAAAGTGCAACGAAGGGATTAGAATGGCACATGAGTTGATTCTTGAAGATACCTTCGATTAGATGGTCACGAGACTGCCGTATGCGAGCAAATTCGTCAGTGTCAGATTCCCGACAAACATGACAATCCGGAAGGCGAGGGAATGTCCCCAATTCATGGTTTTATTCATCAGGGACATCCGTTTACGTGAATCGAGACCGCCCGATAGGAGGCCGCACACTGAAGCTGGTGATGTAAATGAACGTTGCTCACCGCAACATTTCTTAATGCGAAATGATTTTCGTCACTGGAAGTATTCACGGAATTTAAAACCAGAACAAAGAGGGGTTTCAGGATGGAACGAGATGGAAAGATGCCGCGAATGGCGAGTAGGAGAGCAATAGGAAGGGGAAGGTCGTCTATTTTGTGATACGCGAGGAGAGACGGTGGGAATCTAAGAGAAACGAAGGGCACAATAGCGGATTACTTCATCGAGATTCGAACCTGGAACCTTCGGAATGCGTGTCTAGATTCCGCAGCTACAGGGCGTGGATCAGGACGTTTTTGTAGGACTTACAGACGTCTAAATACCTGTAGAATACTATATTCTGTGATGTAACGCCTTGTAGTCCGGTTGAAGTTCACAGACATTTCGGAGGAACACACTGCCTCAACCCGTGATTGCCGCCCACTTCCTCCTGGTGTCATGCTTGACTTACTCTTCGGATCTGAGGATGGAAGAGTTACGTTCCCCCGAACTATCATGTCCTAAGTCAGACGAGTCCATTTCACATCCCCCACACATTTCTTTAGGCCCACCTTAACATAACCTCTCAATTTCAGGGTTTGCGTTTGTCATGTTCCTTGCTTCTTTATCTGTTTGCAAGACGGCAGCATTTGGGGGGAAGGGGGCAGTTTATTAACGAATTAAGCAGAACCCCAGGCTCAAGAGGTGAAACTCTTTGTAAAGTCTCCATCTGAAATTTAAGGGGGCAAAACACCTTACTGAAAAAAAAACGAAAAAGAGAAAGTCTTGTTGCCTCCCGTCTGGTCCATTTGGTCTGGTCAGTGCTTCCGTTGCTGAGGAAGGACCTAGTCATTTTCAGTCTGTATGAACGCTTCGAATACCACACAACACGGTAACAACTAAGTCCGTTATCTTTCATCACCGTCCTTGACGTGAGTCAGGCATATACTATGCAAGGCATTGCCAACCCTAGAAACGCAATGTTACACAAGAATGAAACGATTATAACGTTCTCTGATAAAATGGTTCAGTTTTACAACTTCATTTCGCTAACGCGTATTGAAATATTTCAGTCATTTGCAGCCATGCAGTTGGAAGGCACAGGTGTCTCGTTTCTAGAAGACGTCTCGAAGTGCCTTTTAGGTACTTCATTGGCCTCAGTGTTTATTTATTTCAGATAGACTGCATAGTATTCAGTGATCGTATGTAAGATTTTTAACCACCGTCCACTGTAGCTGATACAGGTTGTGTGGAATGAAGACTGGCAGGGGAAACCGAAGTACTCGGAGAAAACTTTCCCCAGCGCCACTTTGTCCAACACAAATCCCACTTGACCAGACCCGGGATCGAACCCTGGCCGCCGCTATGGGAAGCCAGCGACTAACCGCTTGAGCTATGGCGCGGCCTTAGACTGAAATAACCATAGGTTGCACCATTTAAAAATTCAAACGGAGTTCCGATTTTTGTTTAATGTAAAACAGGGTCTATATCGGACCGAGATGAAACTAAGCAGGGACGTCCCAGGCAAAACGTAGTTGCCTTCTCGGAAAGAGAACCAACATCAGTGACGTAGCGTAATTAAACTGTGAAGCCATCCAGTGAATTGTGCGTCAAGATATGATATAGTGTGGAGCAGCCCTGTCTGATCAGGGACACTATCTCGCTTATTTCACATTCGTCCTTGTGACTGGAGGGTACTCCCTGCTCCGCCATTGTACCCGTTCTCTCTCAGTGATTCCAAGAAGTTCAATAGGTTGAATAGGTACGTCGTCTGTGGGCCGCCTACAGGGAAGGGGGAAAGAGCAGAGAATGACCTTCACACTATAGATTCTGTTTGGAAGAGTTGCGTTTTCCTTTGAAGGGTGGGGGGCTGAGCATAAGTATCGAAGAGAAAGAAATGTGTGAAGGGGTCAGGCTTCACTGTGAGAACAACTTCGACTTGTTTACTGCTCTAATTTGGGGGATGTTCTTTTCGAATCCCGTCAGGAAAACTAAAACCATGAACGGTTTTTGTTGTTTTCCTCACAAATGGCAAAACGATGCCTCGGAATACGCTAGGGATCACCTAAGTTGTTGGTTTGTAAACCATCATACATCATCTGACGCTACTGTAACTTTCAGTAGCTGACACAGCATGATTAATTAACACGTGAACCAATGTATGTATCACAGTTTGAAGTGCCTGCTCCAGCACACGCGCCTTCGTAGCTCCCAGCGTTATATGGAATATAAGAATGCGGGCTGCATTCTTCGGTGCTCTGTCTTATCGGTATGGCATTCTCTGTCACGGAGACTAAGAAGCAGCTCAGATGTACAAAGACATAATGCAGTACTACATTTCTGTAGCCACACCTTGGTATAGCTGCGGCAGTGTAAGTCTGTCCATGCCTTGTTCTTGCTGCACACAGCCAAGTTGTGGTGCTGAAAAGAAATCTCCAATTGAGATCTGTCCCACCGCCTTATATATGCGCACAAGGTCTGTAAGATGCTGCTGCTGCCTTGGACGTTTTCTTATTTATTTCACCAGAGGAGGACAAAAAGCTGGAACAAAGGCCGGAGGATCGTACATCGTACGTAACAGGGGCTGCTGATCCATTATGCAGTCGCTCCACGATCCACAGCTTACATCATTACATTGGATCGCCGTGTGACTCGACCACGCATGCATGAGAGGGCGCCCCATTAAAAATGAGTGGAATTTATTTATTCACCTTCCCTTATAAGAAACAAGGACTGAGATCGTAGCGGAGATTGCCTCGTGTCCTTCTAACCACGTACTCTTTATTTCCTTTATAACGAATGTTTTCAACAAGAACCGGAATTATTTCCATTTCATTGATTTCAAGGGTCGATTTGACAGTCACATTTCCCGAAACCCAGCAATCTTGTCTGTACAGAAGAATATGTACTTCTTTTGTTTTGACTGCATTACCTCATAAATTATTCGGTGTCGCTTTTCTCGCGTTGATACCTATAGTTGTATCAAAAGTACGGCGAAGAGCTGAAAAGATGATGCTTTATGTTGAGATTTTCAGCATCTCGTAACCTCACGTTGCAGTGGAGTCATATTCGAAGTGCCTGAGTTCAATCCCGAGCTGAAAGATATCTTGTGCATATTTCCATAGTTTTCCTCAGTTCAGGTAATTGCCGCAATAACACGTAAAACAGGCCACAACGCTTCCTTCCACATCCTTTCAAATTCATCGTTCACTGTCATATCTATGTAATTAAAACCATTTTAAATATCGTGCAATGTCTCTTTGTTTCAGGGGATGCCCGAATTGCCATGAGGCGGACGCTGCTGGGGGAAGTCCCGGGGGTGTAATGGACTGGGGATTCCCCTCGAATCTCCCCGAGTCCCGGCTGCTGCGCCTTCTGCTACTGCTCCTCATCCTAGTCATGGCAGGTGCGTGGCTTTTCCGATTTTCGCAGTGGCATGCTATAGTATGCCAGACACCTCTTTAATGCCGTTTTCTTACAGCATAATAATTACTGCATGTGGGACAGGTTACTAGACCCGTCTCTGGTTGGTTCTATATTATTTGTTGTGTGTGCTCTTGTGAACACGGTACTGAACCTTTTGCTGCTACAGAAGGCGGGACATTGACTCGAGTGCGATTCGATGCTATGATCTTGTGTTCACAAGCTCAGCACGCTAGTCCGTAGGCTAAATTGTACTTTGTTGCTGGAGTTCAACGTAAATTTCCGGAATAAACATTAATGACACGAATTGTATGTCGAGACATCTGCTCATTGAAAGGTAGGCTTTATTAATTGAGCCTCAAGATGATTCTCAAGGCGCATATCGTCCCATTGAGAACACAGCATCCTTAACAAGACTTGGACACATCCTTCGAAGACTTAACATCACCTGTGAATGTAGTTCCATTTTACATGACTTCATGGCCTGATACCTACACACAGGGACAGTCCACTTTTTACCTTCGAGCATGGTTATGTGGTAACCTGTGCAGTACAAGTGTCATGGCTGAATTCGGTTACTCTTTAGAGCCCGCTACAACTGGCTGACTTGCTAAAACATTTGTGTTCTGCGATACACGTTTCTGGTGCGACATAATTGCCAAATGCTACCAAGAAATTCTCTTTCTCTCCTGTGGACATTAGGCGCAGAAAACAGTTTTAAGACTAATTCGCTTGTAGGCGCTGTCATTTTCGCTGCTTCACGTGGTTGCCACCACGTTACAGTGCAAGATGGTCGGAACTGCTTCACCAGTGTTTTTCCTACGTTCTTTGGTCATTATTTACCCAACTTAGTTTCATGCGCCTACCGACCAATTTTGTGCAGCCGTTTTCACATGAAACAAAACTAAGTTCCACAATTAAGGTCTTTTCTGGCAATCCCATAGCACTTTTGTGGCCATTTAGTCCAGTCAGCTCAAACAGAGAGGAAGACCCCTACAGGACGTTCTTCCTCTGCACTTATGTAGTTATAACCGATTACTCCTTTTTAATAATATACTTCCCTTAATTTATGTTTACAGTTAATTTTTTATAACTACTGTATTTTTGCAAGACTTAATTTATGAATTTGTGGAATTGAGTAAATCATCACGAGCTGTATTCCGTCATGGGCTATACATTAAGTGGGAATGACTCAACGTCACATGACTTCTTATGAAGCTGATAATCTCCGGGGTCCCCCTTTGTTCAGTAAAGCATGGTGCAAGCTTCATACGTAGTTAGCGTGGTACTTCCCAGGGTATAGCCAATCAGAAACGCCAGCTGTTAAATGACATCATGCTAACAGCCAGTGGCGTGATACGCTTATTCTTTGTTCCAGACAGACAAAACCTAGTCCTTAAACAGTTCAGCCGTGTGTATCTCTTCAAGAGGGGAACAAAAGACTACACCAGTCCTAATTAAGTGTTACTAATCATGTATAAATATATATGTTAAATAAAGTGCGAGTGTTTGTTAGTGTCGCGGGGTTTTGTTGACTGCCTTGTTGAAACCAAGGCCCACTTAAAAACCCTGTGAAAGTCTGTTCCCAACTGACTGGCGCCCAGTACATCATACTTCTAAAAATCAGAGTCGTTCAACAACCCAAGGTGAAGTCACGTCTTCACCTGCTTCCTCGAATTACATAGTAAAAACGATGTCTTTCGGGCTACTTTATGCTTGATCGTGTTGAAGTTCTACGATGGAAGAATAGTGACTTTACGTGCGCGAAACTTTTTAGAAACGAATACATCTGCCATTAAAGATCGAAATACAAACTAAAGGGAATACTAGGCGCGGAAAACTACATAATCTTGGAAGGAACGTCAGTTACATAACCCCTAGACCCGCCTCTGCTGGGAGCTTGTTGCTGGGTTACCATTCTTGGAGCGAGCTAAGCAAGCCGTAAGAATTAAGTCCGTCTGTTTGCTGGCCTGTCGCCTTATACTCTTGTTTATTGGTCGCTTCTCTGTTCCCATTCTGAAACACAACCAAGACTAAAGCAGTCTTTACTAGAAACGGTTATTCGGTTCTTCTATCATCTTTTTATTCACTACTTACGGCATATACTTTGCGATGAAGATAACTGTGAGAAAATACACGAGCTATTCGGAATCCCTAAGTATTTAATCATTTTATGCACGAATTTGTGCTAAATAATATTTAAAAATATTGTGTCTGAGAGCCGGTATAGCGCAGTTGGTATAGTGACTGGCTACCAGCTGGACGACCGAGGGGCCAGAGTTCGAGTCCCGGTAGGGTCAATGATTTTCACTTTCCATGTCATCCAGACGGGCTCTGGTGTCCACCCAACATCCTATACAATGGGTACCGGGAACCCTTGTCCCTGGGGTAAAGCGGACGGTGCGTGAAGCTGACAGCTCACCTCCAACTAGTGCCGTGGTTGCATAATGTGACGTGTAATATTACGTCCATTGCTGAGCAACGGCTGCAATGGGAACACATACTTCCGCGAAAACGAATACATGGAAATTGTTGAGTTCCCACAGCGACAAACGCAATAACAGTGGCCGCTGCGTAGGAATTGCCGAAACAACAAACTCTTCCCCGGAGATGAAAGACAACAGAGGGTCTTTGGAATGAAAATGAAAAAGAAGCGTTTGGGCACTACAAGGAAGTTATTTGAGCGCCTGTCTCTCGACCGGTCTGGCGAGGAGGACACCATTCGCATGAACGCTTTCCTTGCACGGTCCGATCCGCATCGACGTGGAATCACAACAGATGCCGGAAATAGCCCCTGTTGTTACACCTGCAGTCCCCACACCTCCGCAAATGTTTACATTCACGCGTTGAGGTTCCTCTTCGGAAACGGAACTTAACAACACGAATTTCTGGGCTTCTATGCAAGGCGGCTAGGGGATTTTGGAGGAGAGTGTCCAGGCCTATCAACCATTTCATCCAATTTCTCTTCATTGAGCATTTGGCGTTCTGATTTTTTTTTAAATAACGAGCCTTTTGTCTTAATGGTTGTATATACTAGGGGCGTTCAAAAATGATACACACTAAATGCTTTTTCTTCACAGTAACCATTTATTGGAACAAAATACATACAGATTATATTAGGGGTATTCCCCGCCAATGTCTGTGCACCTTTGTCGTCGTTCCGGCAGTTTCCGTATTTGCAGAGCAAACCGTTCTTTGGGGGTATCCCGGCGCCACTGTTGGAAAACTGCCTGGAGCATGTTGTTGGAAGTGAACGTCTTACCCCGCAAGACGTCTTTCATTGCATCGAATAGAGCGTAGTCGCTAGGGGCAAACTCGGGCGAGTATGGCGGATGAGGCAACGCGGTGTACCCTAGAGCACCCAGGGTGGCAGTGGTCTGCCGACTGCCATGTGGCCGCGCATTTTAATGTTAGGAGTAGAACGCCACGCCATTTTCCGTGGCGGCGTTGCTGAATGCGTCGGCGGAGTTGGCGCAGTGAATTGCAGTACCGATCACTGTAAATGGTCGTACTGGGGGACAGCCAATCCAACAGAAGGGTCCCCTCCTCATCCCAGAACACAGTCGGTTTTGCTTCCGGACGAATAGCCCCGGTTGTGACTTCCTGGGAGGAGGGCTGCCCGTGTGTTTCACCCGAGGGACTGGCGAGTCTCGTGAGAGAACAATGACTTGTCGACGGTGATTAGACGCTCAAAGGACTCCGCCGGATCCGCGCTGTACAGCTGCAGCAACTGTTGGCATGTCTCCACACGCTTCTGCTTCTGCGCAATGGTGAGAGAATGAGGCACCCATTGAGCACAGACCTTTTTCATCTTCAAGTCCTGATGGATGACGGTGTACAGTGTTCCGCGTGACAAATCGGTTGCGTTCTCTAGTTCATCGAAAGTGATGCGCCTGTTCTCCAATATCAAGTCGAGCACGCGCTGGGTACTGTCTGGTGTGCATGCTGTTGCTGGACGCCCACTGCCATTGCCTTTTTCTGCACAGTTCTTGCCGTCTTTGAACTCTGCTATCCAGCGAAACACGGTTCTGCGACTTGGTGCTGCTTCCCCACATACGGCTGTGAAGCAGCCACTCCTTCCCTCCAGAGAAACCACATAGTCCACCGTTGCCCACCGTTGTCTGCTTCTGTGTTGTCTGAGCGTTTTCCACGACTGCACCTGTACACCGCCACGAATGACGCAGCACTGTTCGACCTGTGCGCAGTAGCAACGTCATTTCGTGGCCATAGGCGGCACTATAGTAGTGCTCCCATTGCTGTCTCCTTAAGGCCGCTCGTCCCGAGTAGCCTATCGGTGTCATCTTTCCTTCTGTTTATGGGTTGAGAGCACCCGCGAATGGTCGGTGCTCCTTTGGCGCCGGCACGCAAGCTGCTAGTAGCTTCTTTCGTTTCGGAGGGGGACTCCATCACAGTGTCTTGAAACTCTTTTTTTGGAATCCTGACGGAATACCCGACTGTTCGTTTTACGATTTCCAGCAGGATGGTTTTCCGAGAGCCTCATTCCTCGCTTCCCAGACGTTGCTCCTGTCTCCTGCTTCGTGTCCTGATGTCATTTATCAGGCGTTTTTCTAGGTCCATTACGACCATTTCGCTTGCATAGTGCAGGAACGGCACGACGGGTCAACCGTCTGCGGGCGGCGGCGGCTAACTTTTGCTGGGATCCACCATTGCCTAGATTGCGTTTCTTCGGCGGTCGGCGTGGCCAACGGGCAGACGCCGATCCCCATATCGGTCGTCCATTGCTGCGATAGCCTCCACTGCGGCCTCTTCATTGGGGACACGCTTGCGCGCCGCTACGACATCTGTTTCTTCTGGATTTTCCTTTAAATCCGTCGCCTTCACTTCCAGGCCGGTTTCCACCACAGTCTACATTCTTCCACGACGGCCTTCGCCCTCTCTGGGTTGGCATTCTCCTTTTCTCGGCAGGCATCCATCTTCACCAACCTCCGTTCCATCATTTGCTCAGTTATCGCAGAATGCTTCATGATTATCTAGTGCAATTTTCGATCCATTAACTCGATCGAGTAGATTCTTTCCGATCCAATAATCACACTTCTGACACCAGTTCTTACCTGACTGAGTGACGATTGACGGGGCCTGGATTGGTAATCAGATTTATTGAACTCTTAACTCGTGACTACACGTTACAAATGACTAGTGTTCTTAGTCACCGTCTTCACTGTGCTGCTTGGTAGCAGCTTTCAACGGCGGACTTTCCCCGGCCTCAGCTACCAGCGTATTACATTAGCAGCTCCCAACAGCTGAAACCCAGCGATTATCTAACTGCTGATTTGTCATGCTTATAACATCTCGGAACGGACCGCGGAGAAAACACCGTTCCACTGTTGCAGTTTACGGGCCGCTGCTTAGCAACGGCCAGCTATTGTGGCTCCAATTCTTTGAGCTAATATGCCACAGTACTTTTGAGTGTATACGTGTAGATTTGTAAATTGGTCTCTTATTATTCGGTTACTCTTGTAATCAGAAGCAAGTTGGCTCAGACGGTAACGCTTCAGACTTGAATTTGGGAGTAGCCGGTTCGAATGCCGGACACCGATCGTCTTGGATCGAGGTTCGTGGTTTCCCTCAGGCGTAGGTAGTGTCTCTAGGGGCATGCGGTGCCGTAGTTGGTCGAGGCACTATGCTACAAGCCGGAAGGTCACGGGTTCGAATCTCAGTGGGGAGGTCATTGGGTTTTTTTTTCAGTTTACCTAATCTTTCCAGCTGCACTATGGCCTTGGGGTCGACTCAGCCTCTAACAGAAATGAGTACCACGAATCTTCCTGGGAGTAAAGGGCGACCGGCTAGTAAGGCTGACAGCCTTGCCGCCATCTGTGAGCTGATTGTCTAGAAAATGTGGGAGACTCGACGTCTCACATCGCTATGGGCCTCTGCAGCCTGTTACAGGAGTAACTTTACCTTAGACCTTACCTTACCTAGGTAGTATCACAAATTACGCCGCCCCGACAGTTTTTTCTTTCTTTCTTTCTTTCCATTTAATTATTCAGTCACCCAACGCTGTATATGCTGTTCTGCTGACAGCCTACATAATAACGACAGTGTCATTAAATTTTTAAGTTCAGGTGGCGTCTCATTTCCACCTCACCTCGCGCCAGTTCTGTTACCACATTCGCGGCTCTGATTGACCTCCGTAGTCGGTTCATCTCAGTTAAAGAAGTAACCTAATGTAGATATTTGACGTAAACACATCTCTCCATTGGTGCAAGTTTGGGCACCCGTGCCTCGAATTACAATGTGGTACATGATTCTGAGAGTTTCTTGTACTGCCCTTTCAGCAGAGCACAGCAAATGCATGCTTAGACAGCCTACGGCACGGCACGTAAGCTTCGCACGTACATCGCGGTGGACTTCAGCCCTTGGAATGTGACTTGTCAGACGGAAATGGGGCTGCATTGCTGACAGTGACACTTTTGTTGCAGGAACTAATAACTGGTCACGTAAACTTCTCAAATAGGCACGTATGCCTATGATGCATAGTAGACGTTACATTTCTCTTCCTTGACACTACAGCCCCAGTGGGCCTATGCCTACCTCCATGAACTTCTCCGTTCACTTCGGGTTTTCTAGATCTTACACATTCCTTTGGACTGCTTGGGCGGGTGATCAGCTCGTCCTGAGGCCTCTACCTGTACACAAACACAAAAAAACGCACACACAAAACTAAACATCCATGCCCTGAGTGGGATTCGAACCCACGACCCCGGTTTCCTAGCGAGCGAAGACAGTAGACGTTACATTTACAACTGAAAAAAGGCATCAAACGAAGATAGGGAGGAAGTTTAATGGGTTCCAGTTAACAGTCCATTAACTTTTCCGTAGTAAAATTACAAGACTCATATGAAGATCATACCTTAACAGTGCTGAGAAAAGCGTCATATGTGCAGTATGCATGAATCCATTGTTGAAGATGAATGGTACATCTCTATCACGGTACCGTCAGACAGCTATCTTGTTGTGTGTTATCAAGCAAGGGAATGTCGCAAGCTTCTCTTGAAAGTGGCCACTTGCAGGTTTTCACAGCCCAGTAAGTTACAGAACAGTCACTGCTGCTTATACTCTCCGGCAACTGGCTTGGGCCTTGGAGGGTAACGCATCAAAATTAAATTTACGAAGACGTTAAGATGAAATTAAATTCTGGGAATGCTTGCTGCCATTCATTTCATATTATTTTGACTCTCCAGTTCCCATTTAGAAAGTCGAAGCGCAAGTACTTTAATGCCATCTGTTGTTTTGCATGACTGTGATACTGTGTTACCCTCAGAGAGATTTGAGGTTCTGGCAACAGTTATCAAGAGTTCCATTCTCTGGGATAGCGCCATGTAGTTCGCTGAAAGTCCGCAAGCAGACTTCCTTGCTACCTTCTTCAGGCTGGTTTCTTTCTTGTCCTAGTCTTCAACGCCGAAGATGGTGGCGACATGTCTTTCATCGGAATACACGGCGTTTTATCCCAGAAGACAGAACCCTTCGTGAAGAGAATATTTCCACTGAAAAGAGAGGACGTAACAGGAAGCGGCAGAACGCCTCATAACGACAGACTTCACATTTTGTATTCTTCAAATATTAGTGCGACCAAATCCAGAAAAATGAGATGGGCGTGGCACGTCGCACGCATGTTTGAGATACGAAATGGATACACAGGTTTAGTTGTAAAACCTGAAGGAATGCAAGCAGTTGGGAGACCTGGGCGTAGATTGGTACATAAAATCTGAATGGATCTTAAAGAAACGTTTTGGACTATTGGTGTGTGTATGCGCCAGTCAGTAATAATAGAAGTAGTGCCATTTTCCACTGAATAACTTTTATTTCAGGGTTCCTGGTTGGTACTTGGTTGGCTGTGTTGCCCAATCGCCTTGATTTAAAGACTGGGGAATGTAGCGAATGCATTTCGGCGCTCATTTTATTTGGGAACCCCTGAGTTCGGTTCCCAGCTGAAAACTATGAGTCGGTTTTTGATGAAGTGGATTTAACTGTTCAAAGGCATTAATTTCTTTTTCAGTACGCTGCGAGGGATGCAAGGTGGACAGATGTTCACGAGAATATGAAAGGGCGATGGATGAACGAGATATACCGAATCCAGAGCCGTCAGCAGAGTTCTGCCAAATTGCGAGAGATTACGGAGCCTGTCTAAGAGGAACTGCACGGTCTTGCCGGGGTAACCTCAACTACCACTCTACCATGAGCACGCTGGGACGGTTAGCTAATGAGTTTAACTGCCCTCGACTCTTGACTAACAGCACATCCGCGGGGCACGTCCCATTGCCGTCGTCTAGTGCGGCACCTCCACGAACCTCTAGCACGCCTGCCCCAAAACGAGAGTGTACTTATCAGGGCAGACATCGATTCAGGCATTGTGGGTTGTTCGGAGATCCGCATCTTAAGACATTCAAAAACCAATACCAGACGTGTCGGGTTCGCGGCGCATGGCCCCTCATCGACAATCCCTACCTTGGTGTTCAAGTGACTAACGAGCCCGTCGTCGAGGGATCTCCTGCAACAGCAACTACTAAGGTGAGTGAGTCCAGTTCAGACCGTAGTGTAACCAAACAACCTGTGTATACGGGACTGACCGTTTCACATTCCTGCCAGCAGGAGCACGGCTACCGACATAATGTTTGATATGAAACGTTCACAGTGCTTCTGGAATAAAATGTATTTTTGTCTTGGGGTTATCATTACATTATTATTTGTTATCTCTAAGATCTGAGCCGGCAGTTGGCATTGAATCCAGAACTGTTTAAACACCAAGCTAGTGACACGCGAACTAGTGGCATAATGATTAGCATACCAGCGGAGAATTAATCAGTCGCAACCTTCGCGCCTTTAGTGCCATCTTTATTTAGTACATACAGTCATCTGAAGGTAGGAATAAAGCGGACTCTTCAAATACATCTCAAGCGAGGAGACAGTGGCCGCCATAATGCTGGCGTAATGGTGCACCTTTAGAGCAGAGGTTTGCAAAGTAGATGCTACTGATCTCTTTAACCGATGTCGCGACTTTGGATTTTGCTACTTTTTAAGGCGACACATATTTTTTGTCAGTTAAACTTAATAAATGTAGATTAGTATTCGGTATGTAGTAGTTCCATTACCACTGCCTATAGATGGCAGCACAGTATATGCGTGGCGTCATAAGCCGTACGCTGTCAACCAGTAGCACTGAGTTGCTTATCTATACGAGTGATCTGTGCACGCGACAGCTACAAAATCTTGTTTGTATGCGTTTTTGGTAAAGATCTTTGTTTTTTGGTAATATTGCCTTTTTACCTTTTAATAAACCCCGATGAACAAATTTGTTACTAGAATGCGAAAAGACGAAGAAGAATGTATGAATCAAGAATTAGTAACTTCCACCGATGAGGGTTCGCAAACCAGCCTTACCNGGGGGGGGGGGCTGTGTTCTTGTCGAGACATTTATTTATAAATGGCATGGTGTACAGTGTCAACCAGATCATGATTTTGTTGCATGGGAATAAATGTTAGGAAGTGAGACTCGTGTTTCTAACAGAGTAATGCAAAATTATCCATAGAAAAGACGATCACATTACTAAAACGGCACCAGATTATTTTGAAAATGAAAAAGTAAATGCTAGATTTGTGGAAATGTTGAAAGTTGTGATATCTCAAGAGACCCGTCATTAAGTGGAAAAGATAATGGTCAAGGAACAGAGACCTCATACAGTTGGAGAGACTTTAACTGGATCAGCTGTCATTCATTCGTTCATTCATCTGTGGCTCTACAGCCCTCTGTTGCACCCTGATTAATTTAAATGACTTATAATTTCCGTCAGTACTTGCTGCCCCTGAAAATGCTCTTTAAAGCGATTTGTGTCACGTCAAGAAAGGAAGCGAAAATGTCATGTCAACTCGTTTCCTATGTCGTCAGTCATTGGTTGCAAAGGCAATAGGCTGGGAACTAAAATCTCGTTCGAACGGAATAATAAAATGGCGAATTACAAGTAAACCGCTGCAGTCACGGGTGTTTGCAAAACGTTGTGCAAAGATGGGATCTCGGTATGTAAAATAAGATGACTTTCCAAGCGTCGTGGGCTGAGTCATGTTAACGGCGTGATCTTGAAAAGAAACAATTTTGTGAATTGCTGCAACGTGATATTTGGTGTACAGAACTAGCTTACGACACTCGTGTATGTCAAGACTTAAACGAGATGAATTCCCAGGTGTATGTTGATTATTGTGGCTGAACAAGAAATCAGTTTGTTGCATTTTAAACGGAAAAGTCTTGCAGGAGACGAAGAGTTAACCGAAATTCATAGTGACCACATACTAATATTGCACTCAGAAATTCATTGAATTTCTTGTGGATACAGCTAAGAAGGGTACGCGATATCGTAGTTGATTGAGGCACTATGCTACAAGCCAGAAGGTCGCGGGTTCCGGTCCCGATAAGGTGGATTTTTTAAATTTACCTAATCCTTCCAGCCGCACTATGGCCCTAGGGTTGATTCAGCCTCTAACATAAATGAGTAGCAGGAATCTTCCTGGAAGGTAAAGGGCGGCCGGCGCGTAAGGCTGACAACCTTACTGCCATCTGTAAGCCGATTGTCTAGAAAATGTGGGAGTCTCAACTTCTCACAACCGAATGGGCCTCCACGGGCTGTTACAGGGATAATTTTACTTAAAGTTAACAAGGACATATCCCAACATAGGCGCCAGGGCAGTTAGAGTTTTAGTGCGATATTCCAGATCACAGTTTTATACATTGGGAATCTCTATGCCCGTCACAAGTAAACCAAAAGGTTATAAAATAATCCGTCCAGTATGAAAGAAATCTGTAAATATCGCCAGGTCCACGTTTCACATTAAATGTTTTGTGTTATATGATTTTAGTTCAGGTTATATATACTGTATATACATGTATATTTTCATAAACTTATGTCGAGAATGAGGCAGCCTGCAACTGTGGTTAAGGGGGTGCGCCGCCATGTTTCCGTGCTGCGGGATTCTGAACACCGTTGCATTTCTGTATGTTTAGGACTAGTTCACAGAGTGTGGCACAACTTATCCCAGATATATCTGCCGATGCAGAAAACGAATCCCCCCCTCGCTTTTCTGTCACCGTAGTTTCTACATAATTTGTTCTTAGCCACTTTGCTGTCAACATTGCCAACGCCAGGGAAGCTCTCCTTGGGCCGAGGTTACATGAACGTCAGAAACGGTTTGTTAGCGATTACAAAACGTACTGACGTAAATGAGAAGCGTTCCGCCTTTGTAACACGCATGGACGGCATTTTCAATGCCTAAAATTTCCAGCACTAACTTCAAATAAGTGAATGGTAGCGTTTATATCGAGGACTCAAACGCCGAGTCCTTGGTTGTGTTCAGCTTTCTGAAACGTCCATCCATTTCCAAGTATCTGCAACGCTGAATGGTGGACCAGTACCATATGACTGCAGAAGATGAAGACTTCGGTATGAGGAATTACGTTTTGGTACAATGACCATGCTGTTGACGAAGATGTGACGAAAGAGAAGAACGTGAGGACGTTTTAATGACAGAGTCCCAAAGTTATGTTCAGAAACAGATACGGTGAGATCGGACGCGGAGAAATGCTCAAAAGAAAATTATGGAAAGTCAGCTGCTTGAAGTAATTGTTATGAACGTTCACGCCCCAACTGAAGATAAAATTGATGACAAAGGATAAATTCTATGAAGAACTAGAACATATATTTGATAAATTCCCAAAGTATCCTATGAAAATTTTGTTAGGAGACTTCAATGCCAAAGTAGGGAGGGAAGACATTTTCAAACCAACGATTGGGAATGAGAGTTTGCATGAAATTAGTAATGATAATGGAGTTAGAGTAGTAAACTTTGCCACATCAAAAATCTTCCTGTCAAAAGTACAATGTTCCCACATCGTAACATCCATAAATTTACTTGGGCAGCTCCAGATGGGAAGATACACAGTCAAATATACCATATTTTGATCAATAGGAGACGCCACTCACGTACGTGTATACTTGACACCCGATCATTCAGGGCAGCAGATTGTGATACTGACCACTACCTGGTGGTGGCAAAGGTTAGGGAACGACTGGCAGTGAGCAAACAAACAACACACACAGTTCATATGGAGAGGTTCAATCTCAAGGAATTAAATGAGGTAGAAGGTAAAGAGCAGTATTGTGTTGAAATCTCAAATAGGTTCATGGCCTTGGAAAACTTGGACACTCAGGTGAATGTTAATAAAGCTTGAGAAACTGTTAGAATATAAAAATATCTGCCAAAGAGAGTCTAGCCATGGTTCGATGAAGGATGCTCAAAATTATTAGATCAGCGAAGCATCGCAGTATTTTAGCAGTGAGGGAAGAATCTGCAGAAACGTTATTTTATGATGACCTTTACATCTACATGTTCACATTAGTAACCTGATATATTGTAAATATACACGTACATTACATAATCAGCAATACAAGATTTTTACGCCAAGATAGTAGGATCTACCCAGGAGATTGCCCATTGTCTGGAGAAGAGATTATGTCTTCAAGGAAGAGTTGTCTTCTGAGATATAACGCCGTGTAGTCCAATGAAATTCAACCGACGTGTCGGAGGAACATGTAGTCTTCATTTCCAGGGTCGAAGACACACCTGCAGGAACCAGGCAACAAACAAATCACCTCTGTCTGCTGCCAGCTTCTTGCCTCTCGGGAGATAATGTCATCTTCATCTCCAGGGTAGTACTATAAGCCAAGCAACACACCGACAAGAAGCAGGTAGCAAGCACATCGGTTTCGCTTGTTTCTTGCTTGACTTAATCCGCTCGAAACATGGAAGCGATGTTTCTCCGAAACGTCGGTTGACTTTCATCTTTATAATAGCAGAAGACAACCCAGTCGTCATTGCTCTCTTGTGCAGCAAAGCAACGGTAGCGGAGAGAAAAATCCCCCAGTGTAGGAAATCGAACCTGGGTCGCTCTCAAGTGCCCCAGCTTGTGCTCTGTGTAAGGTAGAACCTTTTTTAATTTGAGCTGTGGGGCCAAAATGCCAAACTGCCTTGATGCTGTTGACCTTCGACACTGGCTTAACCCCAAATCCAAGGTGCGGCCAACACTGGTGGTCGCATGTTACATCCGGGTGAGTGGGAACGACTGTAGGCTCATCACGGCTGTGTGATGCACTTCGAATACTGTGTATAACCCATTGTGTGTGTAATACAACACAGTTGTGTCCTTTGCGTGGCGTTTACGTGCTTATCTCACATTCGTAGCAAATTCAATATACAGGCATATCCATTCTGTATTGTGATTTGCCGTATGCGTTAGATATTTCTTGCCTTCTGCGCCCGTGCAACGTAGGCCATAAGTACTGGTCACCGCGGCAGTGAAGGTACGGCTCACTCATCCCAACCCCATTGAAATGTCTGGGATATTCTCCATTTCTTGGCGTTTACACTGGGAGACCAGAGATACCTCATTCAGTATAGCGACAGGTTACAGGCTGGACGGTCTGTTTCGATTCTCGGCAGGGACACGAGATTTGTCTTCTCCACTG